AAATTTTGTTATTTTTGGACAATGCAAATTTGCAATCAACTAAATTAAATTATCTAAAGTTCATCATTAATTTAAAACGTTTAATTAGCTAATGGATTGTGCACAAACTTAATTACTTAAATGCAATTAGTATTCAAAGCCTTAGTTTAAATAATCAATATAAAATGATTCAGCTAATTTGTTAATGTTTCAAATTATTCTTAATTAATTGATAAGGAAATCAGGGAAAGAGAAGGTAATATTATAAACATGTGAATTAAAGTGTAGAACTTTTTCATTAATTTTCAACCTTACTAAATGCAATGTTACATTTTCTTAATAATAATTTGTCGTGTCCCGTGATGGAATATCTCTAAGGAATACTTTGTAGTATTGTCGATGTGTAGTGTAGTGTACTTAATAGTATTTAATTAACACTTAGATGCTGGTGATTTTTAATCTAGGTTCCAGTTGCTACAAGCATAGGTTGATGGTCAAGAGTAGAGTCAAACTAGAACTGTTACTAGGATTAGGTTCTTCCTAGGACTCACATGAGTTGTGGACTAACTTAAAATAACATAAGTGTTGTCTTATATGCAAGAAGACAATCATCATGATTCTTCCAAAGTTTATATTATTCCATGTTTTAGCAGTATTAAGAATATCATTTTAGCTAATTTCCAAAGTTTATACGAAACGAATGAATGAATATATTTACATGTAATATTTTTTATCACCAAGTAATTCGATTACTGTTATATAAATCGTCTTATTAATAAATAAATACAACAATTAATCTATCATTTCTAAAAAAAACACCTGAAAAATCCTAATATTTACAAATTTTGTTATTTTTGGACAATGCAAATTTGCAATCAACTAAATCAAATTATCTAAAGTTCATCATTAATTTAAAACGTTTAATTAGCTAATGGATTGTGCACAAACTTAATTACTTAAAAGCAATTACGATTCAAAGCCTTAGTTTAAATAATCAATATAAAATGATTCAGCTAATTTGTTAATATTTCAAATTATTAATTAATTAATTGATAAGGAAATCTGGGAAAGAGAAGGTAATATTATAAACATGTGAATTAAAGTGTAGAACTTTTTCATTAATTTTCAACCTTACTAAATACAATGTTACATTTCCTTAATAATAACTCGTGTCCCGGGATGGAATATCTCTATGGAATACTTTGTATTATTGTCGATGTGTAGTCCTAGTGGGTTTTTATGGAAGAGTCTAGATTGATGTTAGTGTACTTAATAGTATTTAATTAACACTTAGATGCTAGTGATTCTTAATCTAGGTTCCAGTTGCTACAAGCATAGGTTGATGGTCAAGAGTAGAGTCAAACTAGAACTGTTACTAGGATAAGGTTCTTCCTAGGACTCACATGAGTTGTAGACTAACTAGAACTAACTTGAAATAACATAAGTGTCGTTTTATATGTAAGAAGACGTCCTGAATAATACCCTAAGGGTAGGGGCTAATTTGCCATGTCTCCCGCTGTCGATAAGGTCTAAGGGGTGACAAATCTTACAATTGTTTGGGGAGGTTAATTTTAGGTGACATAGTTTTTATAGTTAGCTGCCCGATTTTCACATAATGCCTCTTTCAAGAGGTAAAACTAACAAGATATGAGAAACAGAGCGTTTCTCCAAACGGTTTTTATTACTCTGAGCGTTTTTATAACTCAAAGGCTCGTTTATATCAATAATTAATAAAACAAACAAATATTGACTCGATACAATGATTTAGACATTCGTTAAGTATAAACGAAGAGATATAAACATAAATCACTATTGAAACTATTTGCTTTACGATTCTTAAAAATAATTGTAGTTTAGATAATGGACTTACATGGAATGTGTTTCAGGAATAAAACTGGATTAAGGATAATTTCTTTCTTGTTCACTATTGGGAGAGAAAGAGAGAGAGAGAAAACAAAGACGAATAGTTTACTTGTTCTTGTATTAAATATAAATCAAACTAATCTACTTACTTGGCAGATTCTTTGCAGCACTGTAATCAACAGGAATCTGCAAACAAGAGAAATCAGAATGGGATTTAGGGGGAAAAAGGTAATGTTAGAATCGAATTGATGTAATAAAAATATAATGAGAAAATAGGATTTGTGTAGGTTTTTCAAGCAAACACGTTTCTTGAGTTCTTGTTTTTTTTTTGATGTTCTTCATTCATTCTTAATTTTTCATCATTTTCACCAAATACAATGTAATATTATCATAATAGTAAGTGCTATTGACTCGATATACTGTACATACTTTTGTTTCTTGTACATGAAAGCCTAGGAATTTGATCGCTTAAAATTAACATTCTTTCTCTTCAAAATATGATATATATATATTTTTTTTTTGTCTCATTCACATATGTATAATATATATAAACTTCTCCAAAAAAATGTATTTACACAAATCATCTAGAAACTTAACACGTTGATATATTCGTCCTCACTTAGTCCCCATGTACACTATATAGAGTCGTAATTAATTAATCGCTACACGTCGCTAATCAATTAATATTCTAACAATATTTATATGTAGTTCAGTATATAAGCTTATATTATTATAATATGTACAAATCGTTATTATTCTCTAAGAATCAACGATTCTCAATGAAATATAAAGCATTTACCAAAGCATCTTATATCATATTTCAATTAAATTACTAAAATTTATCTATTTCTTTTTTGTTGCTGTTTTCTTGGTCTATTTTATCATTTCTCTCTTTCCAGCTCCAATTATTGACAAACATCCTCTGTATTAACTTTCGCCCTAGAAAAATATACCTATTCGCGCCCCTTTCCTTCCTTCATCTTCTTTTTGCAATAAGATATGTAGTGATAAAAGCTATCACCTCACAATTATATATATTTTAGTTTTTTTTTTTGTTTAATTTTCTTTAATAATTTATTTACTCTTTTGGACCACACCCACAGTCTTTACCCTATTTGTTTCTATTATTTAGTTTCTTAAATATTATCATTTACTTATATATATATAAGGGATTCACTGAAGAAACTAAATGGAAACGAAAAAAAAAGTAACAGAATAATTCACTCTTCAGTCGCTATTCGAACGTATTTATCTTTTTTTTTTAACTTCTTCACTGGACGGCATTTCTAAAGCTACAATAAAGCGAATCGTCTACCTTGTATTTTCGTGTATCTCTTTATGAAAATTATAACAATCATTTGTAATGGTTATAATGACAAAAACAGTTAATTTTTTTTACGCCAATTAGTCTTAAAATATGTTTTCTTTCACTAATTTCATTATCATTTTTTTTTGTTTTCGAAATCCTAACTGCTACAATATTTGATCCCTCATTCAACATACCTGAAGAAATGATACTGATAAATCGCGTCTCTTTTTGACTGGCCTGAATGGAAGAATTTCTTCTATGCTCGAGTGAAAATAATTCTTACGCGAAAATTCGAAATGATGATAATATTTCGTAATGGTAAATCTACGGTATGTCAATTTCGCTAAATCTCCGGTTCCTCTCCACACTATCCAAATAGAACGTTAATCGTAATAATAATGAATAATTAATAATAAATTTATATAGAAAATTTGGCTACGCCAACCGTTTTGTCGTTTTGGCTTAGAGCGAAATAGATCAGTCTAGAAAAATCTGATAGAAAGTTATTATATAAGGCCAAATGCGGTTTCATATTTTTAGTAGATTCTAGAGCTACTATATAATAATGTATGTATGTATATATATATAGATACTTATATGTTTATGTCATGTTTCGCTATGAACCTAGAGATATGGAGTTTGTGATCTACGTGTGCGGCGAGGAGGTTTCTTTAGAGCCATTTCTTCTTGAAACCGCTCATCCTCCTCCCCCACATGAGGTTGTATCATACGATTGTTCCCTGGAGATGCTGGGGGTCCGCGGTGGAGCTGCTGCCGCCGCCGCCGCTGCTGGAGGGCATCGAAGGACCGACTGAGGAGGAACAGGTGTCGCCGTAAGGAACGTTGATTCCCAACACGCTATGCGGCAGACTGCTGGAACTGTGAGGCAATCCGCTCTGGGCTAAGCTCAAGGTGCTGCCAGTTCCCGAACAAGGGGGATTAATCAGCAGTGCTGTATTGCTGGACATCAACGGGGAGCTGCACTCTTCCGGAGGCGTCACCTCTAAGCCGATGCTGCCGTTAAGTGCGATCTTGATGGGATTGTTGCTGTTGTAGCTTGTGGAGAAGTGCGAGAGGCCGACGTCCTCTAAACTGCTTTTCCTGCGACCGGCGCCGACGTTGGTCAAACCTTGACGCAAGGAGTTGGATCTCCTGAGGAGGATGTCGTCGATGACGCGCAAAGAGTTGGATCTGCCGCGCTGGTATCCTGCGACGGTAGGACTATCCGGCAACGAGAGAGAGTTGGATTTGGTTGTAACCAGAGGTGGAGGTCGCGGTGACTGGTAGCCGCTCAGACCTAGACCTGAGCCCCTCCTGCTACCAGCCTGCGATCCAGCCATCTGCTGTACTAAGGTTTGTGAGCAGAAGCTTATGTTCGATTTCCTCCTGCTGTTGTGCCTTTCAAACGTCTTTTGAGCGGAAAACGGACTAGGCCTTACCAAATAACTGCAAAAGAATGATTCAGAAAAAAATCATCAATTTCAATAGTACTCACATAATATCTCCTTCCTCTAATTTTAAATCACAGCTCGGATTAATGATCACATATGATAAGCTACTTCTCTTCTCACTGACGTCGTTGTAATCAACTGCGGGAAGGTTCAGACTTTCCATCCGCGATCTAACAAGGTTCGCAATCTCCGCCCTTTCGATCTGCTGCTCATGGTTATCTCGAGCTTCATCCCCCATGTTAATGGAATACTAAGTAAGACAACAAATAAAGCAAAGCGTTGTAATAAAGACACGAGAAAGACAAGAGGATCCGAGAAGGAGAAACGATCTAAATCTATGAAAACGCAAGCAGCAAGCGAGTTTCAAAACGAAGGTTCATTCATTCACCATTGAGTATAAGTTTGCGGCAAGCTTGTTCTATCCATTTCCAGGAATAGAATTACAACAGCAATACAGGGTCTAATATAATCGAAGTTGGTCTTTCGTGTTTCATGTTTACCCAACTAGCAACTATCTCAACTCAACTGCATCGTCGTTGTGTAGTAAATTCGGTGTGTTCCGTTCTGTATTTGCTTTCTTTTCTTGTTGTTCTCTTTATTTTTTTTTTGTCACATTTTCGAAACGGTACTCACCATCGAGTTACGATTATCTGTACAGCCTAAGCAGGTGCTGCTGCCTCCCTTGGGCCGGTAAGTAACACCTACACGGTCAGGTCCAAAGTCCTCGTCAAGCTGTTAGAAATTAGGAAGAAGCCAAAAATAGTACTAAACTTTTCGTGCACTAGCAGCCGAATCATCACATTTACAAAATATAAACAACAAACAAAAATTAAACAAAATAAAAAATCACACTTCAGGGGAATTATATAAAAAAAACTTTGAAAATCAGATCAATACATGAATTTGTTAATTAGAAAAATTTAATCTTTTAATTGCAATATAATATAATTATCAATTTGCATCATTCTGATTATCATAGCTTTTTCAGATTAATGTTGTATAGTTTTTAGTTGTATTGGGAATCGTGCTTGGATCATGCGGAATTTACTGTATATTATATAATTGGGGAAGTGGAGGGTCTTTCAAAATATGTTACATAAAGCTTTTTTTTGTTGTCGAAGACTGCGTGCGTGCCTGCGCTTATTGTCGTCGTAGTCTGGAAGAGATAAAGTGTGTCCGACATAAAGATTACATAAGTGTACTGGAGAGAAAATCCTTTGAAAGGAGAAGCTAATTTATTTGTGGTATATCAAACGTTGCATTAGAATATAAATAAATTAAGTTTATCATTAATAAGTTTTTGTTAAGAGTTTTGAAATATTGTCAAGTAAACTAAATTTATTGTATATTCGGAGTAATGCAATGTCTCTTGGAAAATAAATGTGAGTTGAAGAAAGAGATATGTAGAGAAGCAAATTGTATGTCGTAAATATATATATAAAGTATGTCTGGATAGATAGAGACAAGAAGAATAAGCAAGAGAAGCTTTTTTTTTCGGTGTGTTATGTTCGTTCTTTGTATTTGTTTTTTTTTGTGGGACATAATGTTGATGTAAAGAAGAGAAAGTAAGAAAAGATATAGAGAATTTATGTTAATTGTATTTTGCTTTTTTTTTTAAATTTTTTCTTGTTGTACTCACCGAGGCTACAGACGGGACACGCACGCAGCTCGACCACGCGGATGATGTGCGACTCATACTCACGTGAGAGGAATCCGAAACGGACGTGTCCTGGGTTCGGTAAATCCCTATAGGGATTTCGCAAGTCGTTGAGCACAGCTTCTGGTACAGCCGTCCGTACGTCCTGATCCACATGTCGTCCTTCGTTATCTTCATCTGAAACAGAATTCAGTCAGCAGCAGTGGCGGCACCGTTTCATCCCAAACCCTTTTTTTTGCGAATGCCTAATTGGGCGGTAATCCACACTCACCGATGTTAAAAATCCGGACCCCGGAGCCTGGTCGATACCCAGGAGAAGCCTGACGAACGTGATCACGTAATCCTTGACGAAGGCCTGATACAGCAGTGTATCAAGCATGCTGGCGCTGAAGACGCTACCAGCGGCGAACGGTAGTCGGAACATGTAAGAGATGTGCGATCCGCGCTCCTTCTCCCTCTGAAAACAAGCACCAGAACATCATCATTAAAAGCGTCCTATCCTCGATTATCGTAAAAGTTAGTCGCGTCATGCTCCATTCAAACAATACCAATAATAATATCAACAATAATAATAATAATAATTGAAAATCGGCCGCAGTGTGTGCAAGAACTCCAACGCAATAGAGATAAACCAAGAATATATGTATATATAACAAAACAAATAGTCAACTAGAAGCAAGCTATGTCTACTCATTGTCTCATTATCTGGGTAGTAAATTAAGAAATTAAAAATAAAAAACTTATTAAATCTGAGGAGCCTGCAACGGCCTCATGATCAGCAAAAAATTTTGGTACCTGTACGAATAGTTTTTCTGATAAGCCGCTAGTGCCAATGCAATCCTAAAAATATATATACAGGTTCTCGTTACATGATCATCAAAACACCATCGATTCCGCTAATTTCTCGACAATCATAACCCGGTTAAATGGATTTGCAATGACTTTTGTATGAATATGGAGAAGTTGGATGAGGGTATGGTTGCTTCGACGGCGGAGATGGTTTGAAAACTCACCTTTTCCATTTTGGAGAGGTGCAGCGCGTATTTGTCGTGCGCCCTGAACTGCATGAATCTCATGTTGGACGATTGAGAGAGTTCCGTTATGCTCTTGATGCTCGGGAAAAACCTACAAAGTATTTTTTTAATGTGAAACTAGTTTAAATAGTATTCGACTCACTTGAACATGGTCTGAACGGCGACTATGGTATTGCAATCAGCCAAAGAATCTTCTTCAGCGGAATTGCTCAATTCCTTATTCACGACGACCACGTTTTCTGCTAAAGTTATACCAGCCCTCAGCAAATCATCCAGACTAAAAGATTATGCATTAATTATCTATTTTAATTGTAAATTTTAATTGTAAATACCAATCGATGGAACCTAGCATCCAATAGACGAGCGGAAAATAAGAGATGGCGTCGAGGAAGGCTATGTCCGGTCTGCGTTCTAGAAGCAGGATGATCGGATGCAAAGACGTTTTGGATCGGAAGTGCGCCCTCAGAGGGATAATGAAGTTGTAGATCCCGTTCGAGGCGTAATCCGCTGCAAGGATGATCGTCTTGTTCTGCCACTGGTAATCTCTGGCGTTTCTATAGCTGCAATGCTCGCAAACTTGGGCCAACTGCAAACAGCACAAGGGTTTCTTCTCCTTCAGGAGGTAGCACAGGGTCGGACTGACTCCGATGTAGGGCGACACTGGCGGGAAACCCTTCACGATCCTAAATCAAAGAAATAAAAAAATCATACATTTGAAAATCATAAACTTGAGATAGTTCGGTTAGAAGCAAATTCAGCTATAAGAAATAATAAAATGTTACACAATCAAATACCTATGAGGGAAGAGTGTATGCACTAAAAATAATATTAAGTAGGTGTTGTTTTATTCATTAAGTTATTCTAAGATGCAAATTGCATCTATGTTCTACAATTAATTCTTAGAAGAAGGACGAACAAACAGCGTGAGTTTCTTTGTTAATTTTGAATCATTACTTTTAACACATTAACTCAATTCGTTCTTTAATATTAATATTTCTTTGTTAAGAGTTAAGGTGTTAAAATTTTGAGACTTTTCGTCGATTTGGTAATGATTTTGAAGCACTCTGTATATGTTGAGCAAGAGCTAACAGTTTAAAGAGGAACTTACCGGGCGCAATCGTCATGCCATGCGGGTCTCGAAGAGTCTGATGAATCAGTGGTGAGACTGGACCTAGGGAGTGCAAGGTTTGGAAAGACAGAGTAGTGTGAAATCAGAAAGAGGCTAAACCAACTAAATAAAACTCTAAATACAAATAGAAATAGATGGTGCAGAGTTAAAGAAAGACACACGACACAGGGGGATGTTTAAATAAAGAAATAAAGATGGAAAGCTTGAAGATACGAACATCGAAAGCGAAAGATTTGAAACAGTGGGAAAAGGGTGGAGAGAAGTACACAGTTCTCGTTCTTTTCTTTAAACGTTTCCGTTTTCTTTGTCTGGAAATCTTACGCAATTTTCTCGCTGGGCGATCGGAAGGGCACGTCATCCTCCAACTCGTCCTCGCTCTCGTCGCCTTCGTCGGTGATGTCTTGGGAGATATTCAAGCTGGAGCTGGTGATCATGTCCGGTACTGGAAGGATGCTGGGTCTTCTCGAGTTCCTCCTCTGATTGACCTCCGGGCTCAGCAAGTTGGGATTATCACCACTCCGCGGAATATCCAGATGATTACCGGTGACGGAGATGTCCAAGGTCACGGAACCTGGAGAAGCGTCTTTCAGGCATTGCTTCGAGGCAGCAAAGTTCGTGGTGTCGGTGAATGTAGCTACAAGAATAACATTGGAGCGGAGACAGTTAAAAAATGATCACAAGAAAACGAGCGGTTAAGGGGAGTAGTTTCAAGATAATCTGGTATTGTTTTTCGGTGCTCAAACATTAAAAGCATCTACATATAATAACAACAACAATAAAAAAAATAAATATATGTGAATCGTTTCCAAAAACAAATAATTCAGCACATCAAAAGAATACACCAAAATACAGGTTGTTTTGCGTGAAATATCAATTAAATATCAACATTTTCCTTTCAGTATTATTATTATTATTATTGTATTATGCATGAAAGTAGTTAGCTTTGTAAATTACACCGCTGTCATTAACAGAATTAATTGCGTTTCATTATTGTTTTTTTTGTATGTTTCGTTCATAATGAAAATAATAATTGTAATAAATGAAACAATGGTTCTGGAAAATAAGGTGATATTTCAGGCGAAAACGACCCTAAAGAAGAAATCAATATACAAGTATTAAAGATAGATAGAAGAAGAGTTAATAATAAGCACCTTACCGAGATGAATATAAATACATAAACCTTCCACCGAATTAACTCTGTGGGATATAAAGAAATGCGATTCGTTGAATAGTCGATGGAAAATTAAAAGAATCAAAAGGATATATTAATACTAATTCGAGAGCAGCCCTAGATGATGGAAAATTGAAATCATAAAAAAAAATAATAATAATAGGATTTCGATTGATTTTCGTATCTTTTTCAAATAATTCTCTGCTGAAGTTGTTGTTAATTTTGATGATAAATGATGGATGATAGTTAACATGCGCCACAACACTCACTGACACAGGTGGGGACTTGCAGTATGAGTAGTGGAGGACCGGTACCGTCTTTGCTAGCTGGTGTGTTGCTCTTTTCTTCCGCTGTAACAATTACCGGCTCCGTCGAGGTGTTATTATTGTTTACTTGCTGGTTGGCCACCGTGAACGAGGAATTTTCCTCCTTGGTGATGCTCATGTAGTAGCAGGTGTCGCTCTTCTTCATGATGTGTCTGGGACCGGGATTGAGTAGGATCGTATCCTCGTAGAACTCGGGTAGCTCCGCCGGTCTGACACCTACCAGAGCGACTCCGTACCTGCGAAATGCAAATGTCGAATTCTAAATGATCCCCCTGAGATGCGACGGTTTTTGGATGGAAAGACGCTTACTTTCGATGTGAATGGAAGCTGGCGTAGGTAAAACTCTTGCCTTCGTATTCGCCGAAAAACCGGCTGTCTCCTAAGACTATGTGATAAATCTCATTACCGGAACATCGGCCGTATAAACGGTGCCATTCCTCTTGAGATTGCTGTCCCTCCCTGCACGAGATAAATCAAAGGTCTTTAGCCAACTAGACAGACACTCGGGCTTCCAAAGCCCACGAATATATGGGCTACTAAATATTCCAGTCGAGTAATATAATTGCTCTCTCGATTTCGAGAAAAAGGAATAGATAATACTCACTGTCCACGCGACGTGTGAAGCAGGAGGGTGACAAGGGTGGAGGCTCCAGGACACGTGCAGTTATTGGCCAAAAGGGCATACTTGAATTCGTCCTCGCACACCACGAACTCGGCAAACTTGACGTGCAACTTATTTTCGGGCCTGAAGATCTGCACGTATTGCGCCACATTCGGCGCGAAATCCTTCACCGCCCAGGACCTCAGTATCGTGTGTTCATCCTGAAACAAGGAAACAACAACAAATTAAATTTAAATACATACAATATTAACGTATTTGTAACAAATGATGTTAAATTGAAGCTAATCAGGAAACGAGTTGCAGTGTTCCGTTATTTCGCTCGGAATAAGGTAATTTACTCACTTGAGCGCACTAATTAAATAAACATGCAAATTTGTTGGTGAAACTATGCGAGAGAGCAGAGTAAACTTTTCGCGAATCGCATAACCGGAATAATTAAAAGCCATTGCTTGTCATTTCCATAATAACAATAACAACAAAATCAATGCTGATGAAGAAACGAACCCGACATTTCTCCAAAGTGTTAATTGTGTGTGAATAATGGCGCACGCCTTTGAAGATGAAAGACAATCTCGTTTATCACAGAGGGAAACGTGTACTGAGTTATTTTGCTTCTGAAGAAGTGAACTATATGATATCCTAAATGCCAAAAGTGCATTTGCTAGAATTAGCAACCCTCGTTGTAACATCGTTTGGGTTAATAAATTTTGTGGTGCTCGCATTAAATCAAATGTGTTGTTCTCCACTTTTGTTCGTCGAGTTTAGTAGCTTGTCTGAAGGCAAGAAAAACGTTTCTGGTAATGTATTCCGCTAATAATTTCAAGTTAGAGGATGTGCGCTCTCTATTTCTCTCTCTGACAAATATAGATGTATATAGAGTGAGCACCAAAAACTATATAACCCAGTTATGAAGTTATCGATCCTCTTTTCCTCGTGGCGGCCGCTGTGGCTGGTGCGGTGGTTTCCGTCCAACAACTAGGTGACAGCCCCCATATTTATTTTCGGTGGTAAAAGCGCTGAACAGAGCCGACACCACCCACCTATACCGTACCGCTCCTGTGTTTGCACCCATTTAATCCTATCCCTGTTTGGAAAAGGGGACACTCCACTACGACTATATACGTGTGTTTGCGCGACGAGGACTTGGATGAGGACAACCGTAAATGTAATTACCCGCATTATTCCTGCACACATCCTATACATACATATATATCTCTGGTGGAACCCCACAAAAGAGATCTCAACACTTGAAATGCAACTGCACTTGAGTTCAGTTTTTATATTCGCGACTTCCTACAAAAAAATGTATTGCACAAATATAGGTTTTCAATAAAAATTTAATTAAAACTTCATTGCAACATCCGTGCACTTTTGATAAAATCAATGCAATGAAAACCGAAAAATGATTATTGCTAGTTCTTTGCTAATCAATGATTGATCTTTTAATTGAATTTCTTTGTCTCGTGGTATTTGTATGTCTATATAAATCAAGTCAAAAACCTTATTTTTCTTGAACGTACATTGAGAAATTGTAATGTTTTTTGTACTCGAAAAATAAATGGAAATGAAGAGAGAATGGTGGAGAAATGGTCTTTTTGTGTGAACTCACCGCGGCCGTTTTGTCTGCGTAATTCCTGGCAGCTAGGACGAAACACGCCTCCGCTTCGTTCATCCTCGCCCTGGCCAAGTCTCCATCCTGAAATGACTTGAGGATTAGTTGGGAAAGCAATTAGCAGGATTCGATTGTGTGCATGCATAACGGGGGTTGCCGGGTGATTTTAAGGGATGGTTGCGAGACCTTTAGACATGATCCTTGGATGTAGATCACGCGTTGAGCCCAGATGGGCACCTGCAGGATCATCCGCATCGTCGTGTCCAATTCCATAGGCGACAGCAGCACGACGTAGTAGTCCTGCAGCAAAGGATGGGCGTAGAACTCGTTCAGGAAATCCATTATAGTGTCTGCATGCAGAGTGGTGCTGCAGACCACGACGTGCTTCTCCGATTGCGCCCTATGGGAGGAATACGAACCGCCTAATTTCTGCCTCTCCATCCACGTGAATGCCAACTGCTCGAACTGGAAAACGAGCAAAGGAAATTACAGGTGTTCTACACGAAAAACATTAACATTTCCATATAACATACCTGAAGAAGGTAACAACACATTTAATGGTGTAAAGATGAAGTTTTAGGAATGGAAAATAATGTAATATAATACCTGTGTAGGTAGGACTATGAGAGCGACGCATATCATGATGACCATGTAGAGTTGCGAGGGCCAAATATCCGGAACGAAATCTCCGTAGCCGACGGTGGAGAACGTTACGACCACATAGTAAGTAGCCTGGAACAGGTTCAAGTGGCGGTGTCCGGCTCTCTGGAAATGCTGTATACCGCAAACGCTATGAAAGAAAGGAGAGAATGGAAGGTAAACACGTTAAGACTGAATAAATGTGGACAGGAGAACGGCACTAAGGGGATCTTTCAATGTTGTCTAGACGCCGTCGAAGCGGAATACAAAGTATTAACGGAAAAGCTCTTCAACCTTACCTTGTAAACACGAGGCACAGAAGCGTTGCCGAAAGTATCGTCAGCTGCTGACTGAGAGCTGACTGTGATTTCTGCATTGCCCTGTGCAGATCGTTCTGAAAAAAAATCACATTTACGATATTAATCATTACTTTAAATATTTCATACATGTAATACACTTTAACATGGAATTTACTGAAATAAACTGAAACTTTCAAACTACATGTAAATACTGAAAATTTGATAAATCAAAAAGAACACTACCTACTACAAATTAACATATTTATTTACTTTGTAAATAGATTTGTAGTAATCATTCTTGACTAATTTGGGAAAGGATAAAATATTTATCTAATGCAGTGTTCCTCAAACTTTTTGGTCCTTTTGCACCCCTTTTTCACTTAAAAAACCCTAAGAATGGTTATGATAGGAATCTTCGATTTGAGAATCACTGCTCTAATGTATATAACCAAACGTACATCGTAGTACCAGAATAATAGTTATTAAATTAACATCAACTCTTTTAAAATACAAAGAAAACAAGAGTATAAACTACTATAAACATTGAATATTTTAACTAGTATTAGAATTAATTATTGTATAAACTCACAAAACATCTTCAAGTTCTTTGAATGCTTTAGTCTTTTGTATAATTTTTTTTAAAATCATCTTCAAAGCTGAAATATTATGAAATGAAAGAAGTTTCTCTTTGGACAAGAAGTTAACGATTTTCATCGTTCCGGCTCTCAAGAAAATTAGAATTTTGATGTATCCTCGGCCGAAAGAGTGTTTTAAATTTGCACAGGCACAAAGAAAGACACACCGCGTCTCCATAGAATTAATGGTATTACGTAATGCTCGACACCGTATGTTTCTTTGATGTGTAAAGCGAGACCGAACAGCAGAGAGAGAAAGAAAAAAGGAAGGGATTTGAAATATATACTTACGAACATATTTTCTAAGGAATGTTTCGCCAGCCAACAGTTCAAGAACACTGGTATGAATACGTTGCGAAGTGGAGGGTAGAATATCTGCGGCATTGCATACAAATATTTCAATTTAAGCAGATAGTAAAACAGAATAAATATATAAATAAATAAATAAGGAAAAAATCTACATGTTTGCATATGAAAATGTAATAAAAGTATACTCACTGTCATCGTAAATGGAATTGTGTTCACTAGCTCTAAGATGAAATGAAAAGACAACAGCTGCTGCCAAATGTTGCCCTGCAAGAGAAGAGAATATGAAAAACATGTATTGCCTCTTGAAAAAATAAAAAAATATATATAAAGGTACGACAGATATAAGCATTGTTATGGACGATGTTTTCCAACGGATTTCCCGTCGCTCGCTATGATTGATCGCACCCTGAAAGTCCTTATCCTGAAACGCGAAACCGATTTACTTATCGTTTCGGATTCGCTTCCACTTCTCGTGCCACTCTTCCAGTCACGGATTTTCAAGAGGACGTGGATTAACAGAAAAAAAAAAACGAAAAACTATATGAAATAAACACGTTTCCTCCACTATTTTCTTTTTATTTCCGTAGGCAATGCGATTTCCTTGCGCAATTTTCAATCAGTTTGGCGATCAAAAAAAGGTTGACGATGAAAAAATTAGTGCAGAGTTTAAATCGATTTAGTTTCACAAGTAATAATCAAACTTTTGACGACGTTTTATTTTCAATTTAAACTCGATTCAATTAAAATTAAATTTCAGATTGAGCTAAATCTTTCAACGAATTAACATATAATACAATTAGGATTTAGAGTCAATCAAGTTTAATGTGTTTATATCGATCATACGCATTAACACATTATAAATCTATATGAAATAAACACGTTTCCTACACCATTTTTCTTTTTATTTCCGTAGGCAATGCGATTTCCTTGCGCAATTTCCAATCAGTTCAAAAAAAAAAGGCGAAATGCAAAGATTGACGATGAAAAAATTAGTGCAGAGTTTAAATCGATTTAGTTTCACGAGTAATAATCAAACTTTTGCCGTTTTATTTTCAATTTAAACTCGATTCAATTAAAATTGAATTTCAGATTGAGCTAAATCTTTCAACGAATTAACATATAATACAATTAGGATTTAGAGTCAATCAAGTTTAATGTGTTTATATCGATCATACGCATAAACACATTATAAAGTTATATGAAATAAACACGTTTCCTCCACTATTTTTCTTTTTATTTCCATAGGCAATGCGATTTCCTTGCGCAATTTCCAATCAGTTAAAAAAAAGGCGAAATTCAAAGGTTGACGATGAAAAAATTAGTGCAGAGTTTAAATTGATTTAGTTTCAAAGTAATAATCAAACTTTTGTGGTTTTATTTTCAATTTAAACTCGATTCAATTAAAATTAAATTTCAGATAGAGCTAAATCTTTCAACGAATTAACATATAATACAATTAGGATTTAGAGTCAATCAAGTTTAATGTGTTTATATCGATCATACGCAGGAGTTAGTGTAATTACATAGTAAACATGTTAAATTAAGGAAATTTGCGTAACTCGTGTAATCTTATTAATTTTAGACTGTATTAACTAGTTTATGAAACAATTAATCTTGATGCAAACTTTACCGAATCTAACTACTATTATTTTGATTTGCATAGTTTTTTTTTCAGTTGTTCTGTTGAAGGTTTCCGATTATGAGTACATGAAAGATGAAGGTAAATTGATTTGTGAGAGCATTGATTCCGGTGCTCATTAACATTCATTCGTGCGCCGAGGAAGCTTTATATAGTAACATTGGAGCTTTCATCTTGGGGGAAGAAGCATAATTAGATCTTCGCGGAAACTTTGTTAGCGCGAAATTAAATTAATTCTCGAGCAAGGAACTTATTATCATTTTGATTACCGGGGGAAGAAGAGTGAAAAAAAAATAATAATAAGGGAAAAACTATAGTAGAGTTCCAATTTTCCCGGAAGCGATGATGATGATGATTATTGCTCGGTCTTCTAAAAGGAACGCTTCAAGTTTAGTGTTGTTCGCGTTTGGAACGAGGACAGTGATTGAACTGGAAGATGAAGATGAAAAGGATGCGCCCGGAAGTTTATTAACCCCGCCGAATTGAGTTACCGAAGGACGAAGGGTGGAAAACCTAAATTGAGTGGCCGGGAAAAGTTCAACGTGTAACCGGATAGAGTAGATAATTAGCAATTGCTCTCTGTTATTATTTTCACGAAAAGGACTTCTTCCATTAACCGTACAACAACAAACAAAAAAAATAGAGAATGAGAAGACACAAACACACACAAAAAAAGGAGGCAACAGGTATTGATTTCTGTCACGGTGGTAAACACGCGGCCCTTGTAAATATTCCAACGTGCGTTCAAATCAATATCATTCGTGTTGCATATTTTTAACTATAAATAAACGAAACGTGATTATCATTATGCAACTGAAATTTTCATTTGCACGATACGTATGTTGTATAATCTCACCTTGTAGCCGAGATAGGCGAGCAGCAAGGCTTCCGTCAGACTGATCACAGCGAGGATGACCTGCACGATCCACAATTCCAGCGGTCTGTTCACGAAGATTATAGCATCCCAATTGATTATCGGATTCTCCTGGAACTTCTCCTCAGTCAGGTTCGCGGATAAGATGTATTCCGACTTGTTCCCAGGCATACAACCATAACTGAAACATTACAATATCAATCAATGATCACAAATCATTCTGTAATTAGTTACGTAATCTCATCGAAACTACAAATATTAAAGTATTAAATATACTTTGATTTATTAATAATAGATGGCGTATCATTGACATAAAAGATAGGCAATCCTATGTGATCATTGTGTAATTTAATAAAAATGTAATTGCTGCCAATAAAATAACAACAAATATAACTATATGAGAAAAGCTTTAATTGAGATAATCATTAAGCTGGGGAAAACAGTGATTTAGATGTTACGTGATTAGTGGTGGAAATGAAAAAGGTAATATATATATAAAGAAAATGACCTTACTCCATGCGTTTTAATCTCAATTTTCACCCCGCAATCGCATAAAAACACACACAACAAACCACCTGTCATTACTGGTTATTCAACAAAGGTTACGTCGCCTGGTTACACGAGCTTCGTTTTTGTTTTACACGAACAAAGCTCGCTTTGATTCATTTCTTTTCTTTCAGATTTGATTTCTATTAGCATTAATTGTGTTTGTACGTTTCCCAACACGTGAAGCAATTAATTAGCGTTTATTATTCTATTACGATAATGGCATTTTGTAGATGTAATAAATCGTAATAAAAATGCTGATTTAATTATGCCACCGAGCGAAATGTTCGTTTCTTTCCATTTCTCTTTAGTTGATTCAAAGAAAGAACACGAAGTTAATTGTGGTTTAATCAAAGGCTGCACGAAATGCGGGATGTTAGTTATAATTTGCATAGATACGTGATTCGAATTATCTAGGGGATGGATGTCAAAACGTATCGCATCTAATGGGGGCGTAATTGCTACAACCATGCCAACTCGGACACTGTGTCTGCTTTTTCGCGTCGAATTTACTCACCATGTGGCGTACGTCGGATTCAGATCGGTGATAACGCGAATTATGTAGAGGACGCATGTTAGGAGCTTGAAGAATAAATTTGCGATTCGTATCCGTAAACCTGAAACAGACATACAAAAAATGATAAAAATCGATTTTTAATCTACAAATTTATTATCAAACCATTTTCTACAATTTTAGCTTTAAAATGCAATTTAAATTTCCAAAATCGCATCAGTATTAACCGAGATACAAGTTAATTAGTCATGAAGTGTTTTATTCAAATTTTATTAATAATACACACATAACTTCGACACACAAAAATCGATTTTTAATCTACAAATCATATTTTGAATTATTATCAAATTATTCTCTACAATTTTAGCTTTAAAATGCAATTTAAATTTCCAAAATCGCGTAAGTATTTACCGAGATACAAATTAATTAGTCATGAAGTGTTTCAATCGCATTTTATTCAAAATTTATTAATAATACTCACATAACTTCGACGTACAAAAATTGATTTTTAATTTACAAATCATATTTTGTATTATCAAATTATTCTCTACAATTTTAGCTTTAAAATGCAATTTAAATTTCCAAAATCGCATCAGTATTTACCGAGATACCAGTTAATTAGTCATGAAGTGTTTCAATCGCATTTTATTCAAAATTTAATAATAATGCACACATAATTTCGACACACAAAAAACGATTTTGAATCTACAAATCAATTTTGTATTATTATCAAAATATTCTCTACAATCTTAGCTTTAAAATGCAATTTAAATTTGCAAAATCGTGTAAGTATTTATCGAGATACAAGTTAATTAGTCATGAAATGTTTCAATCGCATTTTATTCAAAATTTAATAATAATGCACACATAATTTCGACACACAAAAAACGATTTTGAATCTACAAATCAATTTTGTATTATTATCAAAATATTCTCTACAATTTTAGCTTTAAAATGCAATTTAAATTTCCAAAATCGCATCAGTATTTACCGAGATACAAGTTAATTAGTCATGAAGTGTTTCAATCGCATTTTATTCAAAATTTATTAATAATGCACACATAACTTCGACACACAAAAATCGTTTTCTAATCTACAAATCATATTTTATATTATTATCAAATTATTCTCTACAATTTTAGCTTTAAAATGCAATTTAAATTTGCAAAATCGTGTAAGTATTTACCGAGATACAAGTTAATTAGTTATGAAGTGTTTCAATCGCATTTTATTCAAAATTTATTAATAATACACACATAACTTCGACAACATAAAAAATGATTTTTAATCTATAAATCATATTTTGTATTATTATCAAATTATTCTCTACAATTTTAGCTTTAAAATGCAATTTAAATTTCCAAAATCGCGTAAGTATTTACCGAGATACAAATTAATTAGTCATGAAGTGTTTCAATCGCATTTTATTCGAAATTTAATAATAATACTCACCTAATTTCGACACACAAAACACGATATTTAATCTACAAATCATATTTTGTATTATTATCAAATTATTCTCTACAATTTTAGCTTTAAAATGAAATTTAAATTTGCAAAATCGCATCAGTATTAACCGAGATACAAGTTAATTAGTCAAGAAGTGTTTCAATCGCATTTTATTCAAAATGTATTAATAATACACACATAACTTCGACACACAAAAATCGATTTTTAATCTACAAATCATATTTTATATTATTATCAAATTATTCTCTACAATTTTAGTTTTAAAATACAATTTAAATTTCCAAAATCGCGTAAGTATTTACCAAGATACAAGTTAATTAGTCATGAAGTGTTTCAATCGCATTTTATTCAAAATTTATTAATAATACTCACATAACTTTGACAACACAAAAATCGATTTTTAATTTACAAATCATATTTTGAATTATTATCAAATTATTCTCTACAATTTTAGCTTTAAAATGCAATTTAAATTTCCAAAATCGCATCATTATTAACCGAGATACAAGTTAATTAGTCATGAACTGTTTTATTCAAAATTTATTAATAATACACACATAACTTCGACGCACAAAAATTGATTTTTAATCTACAAATCATATTTTGTATTATTATCAAATTATTCTCTACAATTTTAGCTTTAAAATGCAATTTAAATTTCCAAAATCGCATCATTATTAACCGAGATACAAGTTAATTAGTCATGAACTGTTTTATTCAAAATTTATTAATAATACACATATAACTTCGACACATAAAAAACGATTTTTAATCTATAAATCATATTTTGTATTATTATCAAATTATTCTCTACAATTTTAGCTTTAAAATGCAATTTAAATTTTCAAAATCGCGCAAGTATTAACCGATATACAAGTTAATTAGCCATGAACTGTTTTATTCAAAATTTATTAATAATACACACATAACTTCGACAACACAAAAATCGATTTTTAATCTACAAATCATATTTTATATTATTATCAAATTATTCTCTACAATTTTAGCTTTAAAATGCAATTTAAATTTCCAAAATCGCATCATTATTTACCGAGATACAAGTTAATTAGTCATGAAGTGTTTCAATCAGATTTTATTCAAAATTTATCAATAATACATACATAAAACTACAATCACATCATTATTTACACTTTTAACTATAATTTTCATATAGTATTATTAAAAAAAAGTTTAAAGTTTATCTAAAAGTTAAATTTTAGTTCTAATTTACAAAAAGTTCAATTACATAATTGCTTTTTTATTTTGTTTAGTAATGGATTAGTATTAGTTGGAAAATAGACGTTTCAGAAGTGAATGCATCTATTTATTAAATTATTCTCTACAATTTTAGCTTTAAAATGCAATTTAAATTTCTAAAATCGCATCAGTATTTACCGAGATACAAGTCAAAAAGTGTTTCAATCGCATTTTATTCAAAATTTATTAATAATACACTCATAAAACTACAATCACATCATTATTTACACTTTTAACTATAATTTTCCTATAGAATTATTAAAAAAAGTTTAAAAGTTAAATTTTAGTTCTAATTTACAAAAAGTTCAATTACATAATTGCTTTTTTTTTTGTTACGTAATGGATTAGTAATAGTTGGAAAATAGACGTTTCAGAAGTGAATGCATCTAAAGTTTACACTAATTGCGTCGACTTTGAATAGTGAAACTAATTTTATTCCCATTTTCGGCGTAAATTGAAGACACGTCGACTGCAATATTCCAGCTAAAAGGAAAAGAGTTGCGAAATGCAAAATCGATTTAGTTGCGTACGAAAATGCAAAAATTCACGGATTCACGAAGTTCGTGACAAGTTTTCAGGTCTCGTTGTCAGAACTTTCCGGCTTTGTTCACCGCTCCAAGCGACAAACCCTAGCGTTATTGTTGCACTATATACATTTACTTTCTGTTACATTATTACAGTAACAACAAAACCCGACCTCTCCAAATACAGTGAATTGAACCTCTCAAGAGTTTCAAACAATGAAAACCAACTCTAACTATAATAAATCTATATTTATTTCATTAAAATTACTCAAAAATTATGAACTGTAGACAAAAGTAAAAGTTTTAATTTATAAAAAATTTGATATTTAAAATGAATTTGATTGTTTGCTATAAAGATATTTGCGGATTTGTCTTCTCCTCTGCTTATTGAACGATTCCGGTTTTGCTTTGAAGATGTCTTCGGGTGAAGAATTGTAATTTGGAGACGCAATCACGTTGCTTCTGTTCATCTGCTCTGTAGTGCTTTCATCGATTTCTATTAGTTGATTCCTCAGTCTCAGATCGAGACGACGACTGATCGCCTTGGGCATCAGGAACTTGTACAGACCGCTGTTGAATCTCTTCATGAAACTGAGCGAGCAGAAGACTGATTTAAAGACGACCAAAGCCATTACCTCAGTCATCCCGTGGTTTTCTAACAGTTTTATTGAGTGCAAATCTCCGAAAGGTTCGCACAGGTTTCTTAAATCCTCTTCAGATATTGCACGATTTACACCGGTTATCACCAATCCTCCGAATAGTCCGGTACTCTTCAACACGAAACACTTCATTTTTTCTAAACTTATCTTCACCAAAACTGAACTCAACTCAAACTGAACTGAACAATATATAAATTAAAATTGAAGTTAAAATGTAATTAAGTATAGACGAAAACAACAATACATTAAAATTTAAAAACGGTCGCTTCCTTCTTTATTTATACCTGCATTCTTTTCTTTAATTATTATGTTTTTTTTTTATTATTATTATAATCACATGGAAATGTTATAATATAATGATATTTGCAAGTATTGTTATATTTACATTGTAAACATGTTTATTTACAAATGCGTCAAGAAATTTCTTCCATCCATAAACATTTCAATTCAAAACTATAAACGATATCTTTGAAAAAATATATATATATATAAAAAATGAACACTACAGTTCAGTTTAATCGTCTATTTAAAATTGTATTCTTCAATCTAATATTATCAATTTTTTGGATTTTATATTTTCAAATTGTCGACTTTTTACAACATTTCTCTTTACAACTATTAACACTGAATCAAATGTAAAACGCTTTAATTGAAGCTGAAACTGTGTAGAATTGAATACGTGCATCAGTTTAATTGTGTTAATTATGATTTTACTGAAATTTTACACGATTTTACAGCAAATAAATTCGAAGAATTACAAAAAAAAATATATTCATTTTTTTAATTTGAATTGGAAAACAATTACTATCAATCGAAATATAGAATTTAATAGATAAAATTATAAAAAAATTGTATTATTAATGCAAATACTAATAATTAAGGTAAAAAATTGTTTTAAATTGTTTTAGATTTTAGTCTATTTCTCGAAAACTATATATTTCAACTAAACAGTAGAATATGAAAATTAAAGCTAAAATTATAGAGAATGAAATTTAGTAATAATCATATTTGTGTTATTAATGTAAATCCTAATAATTATGTTTCAAAAATGAAACATTAAAATTTGTTTGCAATGCTTTAGATTTTAGTGTATTTCTCGAAAACTATAAATAACAACTAAACTATATAATATGGAAATTAAAGCTAAAACTATAGAGAATGAATTATAGTAATAATCATATTTGTATTAGTAATATAAATCCTAATAATTATGTTTGAAAATTGAAACATTGAAATTTCCTTGCAATGCTTTAGATTTTAATATATTTCTAGAAATCTATACATTTCAACTAAACCGTAGAATATGTAAATTAAAGCTAAAACTATAGAGAATGAAATATATTAATAATCATATTTGTGTTATTAATGTAAATCCTAATAATTATGTTTCAAAATTGAAATATTGAAATTTGCTTGTAATGCTTTAGATTTTAATGTATTTCTCGAAAACTATAAATAACAATTAAACCATATAATATGGAAATTAAAGCTAAAACTATAGAGAATGAAATGTAGTAATAATCATATTTGTGTTATTAATGTAAATCCTAGTAATTATGTTTCAAAATTGAAACATTGAAATTTGCTTGTAATGGTTTAGATTTTAGTGTATTTCTCGAAAACTATAAATAACAACTAAACCATATAATATGGAAATTAAAGCTAAAACTATAGAGAATGAAATTTAGTAATAATCATATTTGTGTTATTAATGTAAATCCTAATAATTATGTTTCAAAAATAAAACATTGAAATTTGCTTGCAATGCTTTAGATTTTAGTGTATTTCTCGAAAACTATAAATAACAACTAAACTATATAATATGTAAATTAAAGATAAAACTATAGAGAATGAAATGTAGTAATAATCATATTTATGTTATTAATGTAAATACTAATAATTATGGTTCAAAATTGAAACATTGAAATTTCCTTGCAATGCTTTAGATTTTAGTGTATTTCTCGAAAACTATAAATAACAACTAAACTATAGAATATGGAAATTATAGCTAAAACTATAGAGAATGAAATATAGTAATAATCATATTTGTGTTATTAATGTAAATTATAATATTTATGTTTGAAAATTGAAACATTGAAATTTCCTTGCAGTGCTT